TTATACAATTTAAAAGGCTTTGACTCTTAATATATCATGAAACTAGAATGCATTTAAAAATATTTCACAGCAATAAAATGGGTTAATGCCTTTGTCAGCACTCAAGCCTGATTATCTAAAAGAATAATGGGACTCATGACACATCAGTTCTGTAAACATATCCTAATCTACACATCATTTCTTGGGGTAACTTACAAAATGAAGCATACAAAAAAAAAATCTTGGAAAATAGTTTGTTCACACATTTTGAAATGTGACATTAGAGTTACTTATTCATGAGAATTTCATAATATATTAGTAAGCATGCTGCAGGATATTTTGGAAAAGTAATGAAGGCTTAGTAATGCAAATTTTTTCCAAGCCTCCTTTCTTTTCTTACCACCCCCTACACCCCAGCCTTCTTTTCTAAGAAACAAATGAGGTGAGACTTTCTTTTCAGTTGAAGATTGAGCTATATTGCTGCCCATCATTTTTTTTTTTTTTTCGCCTCATTCTGAGCATCTGCAGAGCTGCTCATTCCATTGGGTCCACCTCAGCTCCTCTGTTAGGCTCCAAGCCCTTTGAAGGCAGATCTAAGATGTACCATCTTGTTTTCAAGGTCAGCAGTAGAATACCAATTGCAAAGCACGTGCTCGTATAAATAGGACAAGAGCTTGCCAAATAGAAAAGGGATAGGAGAACAATGAGAAGGCGTGTGCACGATGACTTGCTCACACCTACCATCTGCTAGAGACGCTGCGGCTACGCTTGTTGGCCACTTGTTAACAGATCTCATTAATCCACTCAGCTACCTGTGTACAAACCCCCACATGGCATTCACCCAAAGCTTCTTGGTTCCTAGGCACTTGTTTCTGCAGGTCCTCAGAGAAACTCTTGAACATAAGGACATTAAGGATACATATGGCACTATGGGTTATGGGTTATAGGGATAAGGGTAGGACTGCAAGGGAGAAAGCTTCTTTTAAGAAATGGGGAGCTGGCCTAGAAAAGGGAGGACGGCACTGGCAGACAGAGGAGGTGAAGGAATATCAGCAGAGAAGTGGGAACAATGTGGGGGGTGCAGGGATCTGATGGACACCAAACAGTGAGGAGTGGGCACTAAAACACAAACCCAGACTCCGTCCCCTGTGCAGATAGTGAGCATACTTCATATGTTTGAGTAAGAGAGACAACATTCGAATTATCAGGCAGATAAAAAAAGGCATCGTAGAAGAGAAACCAACTAGTAGATAGATAGCATTAGAGATAAGAGACTCAACTAGGGTGAGGGCAATTAGAATTGGAGATAGGGGAAGACTGCAGAAATACTTTGGAGGCATGATCACGAAGACACCTCTGTCTGAGTGAAGTTTTTCAAATGGAACTCATAAATCACTTCCTGGTTAAATCACGGAGATGTTTTTTGAATGTTCCTGGAATGACACCACATCCTGCCACGGCTTACAAGGTTTCCCTCCTGCCTGATCCTTTATTTCATGTCCACATCCAATTCAACCAGGAAAGCCCTTGTCCCTTGGTATCCCTCAGTCCAGGTCCCTTCCTTCGGCTCTCAGGCTGGGCTCCCTCCCATTTTTTTCTCATTCTTTAGATCTCACCTATGCAAAGGGATCTCCTTGGAAACCTCATCAGTGTGACCTTCCTCAGTTACTTTGCAGATTTTTAATGTGCCGATTTCTTCCATAGCACGCACCCTACAGTCTACCTTGACTGTCTATGATCCTGGGGTTACACTGGTGTACTATTGGTCCCTTCCCACTGTGCCAAGGAAGCCACTGAATT